CCCAAATGAATATTTAAAATGCCCCCTGTCTCGCAGGTACATTTTGGATAGGCTTTGTATCTTTGAGATTTTAAATATTTATTTGTGGATCTCGGCACGCAGCGTGATGTCGACCCAAATAAATATTTAAAATGCCCCAAGTCTGATGGGGGATTTTGAAATGCTTTCTTGCTATACAAGAGAATTTTAAAATATGAGCAGACTTGCATTAATAAATATGCGTATAAAACTTCGATAATTGTAAAGTACATTAGTCATGAAATTTTCATGCATGATATTTCTTTAGATGTCGGTCATTGATTGGCGGCATGGGCCTCTGGCCGTTCAGATCGATCAACTGATATGCTCCTCCTTGGTACACTTTCTCGATAACAAAGGGGCCTTCCCAATTGGATACGAATTTGCCACCAATTTTTCGGTGTGGGTTGATTGGTCTTCTCAGCACCAGAACTAATTCCCCTTCTTGAAATGTTCGAGGGCGCACCATCCGATCAAAGGATTTTGCCATTCTTCCTCGGTAGATTTCTAGGTTTTGTTGAGCCTGTAATCTGAGTTCATCAAATGCGTCGAGCTCTTCCATTCTTAGGCAGGCATTCTGTTCTTGAGTGAGATCATTCTGGATTGCTTCTCGAAGTGATGGTAGTTCAATCTCCAATGGTAATACAGCTTCGACTCCGAACACCAGAGAGTAAGGAGTGGCTTTAGTTGTCATTTTATAAGTTGTACGATACGCCCACAGTGCCTCTGCCATTTTCGTATGCCACTCTCTTTTATTCTTGGTGAGAATCTTCTTCAACAATTTCACCAGCGTCTTGTTGAAGGCTTCTGCCAATCCATTTGCCCTTGGATTGTATATGGATGAATATCGCCAATCGATTTTGTGCCGATCAACGAACTTGTAGATTTTTGTACTTTTGAATGCAGTACCGTTGTCTGAGATTATGCGACGTGGTACACCAAATCTGTAAACAACGTTATGGGTGAAAAAGTTGATCACATGTTCGGATGTGACCTCTCTGAATTGAGCTGCTTCTGCCCAATTTGAAAAGTAGTCTGTTGCTGCCAGAATAAATCGATGTCCCGTTGATGACGGCGGGTCTATCGGCCCAATTATGTCAGTGCCCCTATATTCAAATGGCCACGATGCTATTGTCGGGTGCAGCGGATTCGGAGGCTGATGTATAACATCACCGTGGATTTGACACTCGTGGCACCTCTTAGCGTGGTCAATACAATCTCTGACCATGGTCGGCCAATAGTAACCCATTCTCTTGATTTTAGCGGCCATTTTGGGACCTGACTGATGTGCTCCACAAAGTCCTTCGTGGACTTCTGCCACCACTTTATCAGCTTCCTTGGTCCCTAGGCACCTTAGCCACATTTAATCAAAAGCTCGTTTATACAATGTGTTGTTAACAAACGCGTATCACAACGCCCTTTTTCGAATTTGTGCGGCAATAGACTTTTCTGTCGGGAGTTTGTTTTCCTTGAAGTAGTCAATGAATGGCTGCCTCCAATTATTTTCTACTTCAATATCTAAACAATGCCACCACGATTCTGAAGCTTGACTAGCTTTACGTCTCTTGGCCACGTGATGGTCTTCTAGATAATTCTCCATAACGATCTGATGGAGAGGCTGAGGGTCAACTGGGGTTTCATCCTGCTGACTTGAATCTGGAATTCCTTCTGCCATCAGGAATTGTAATAGAGCGGGCTCCAAGACCCTACGAGTGTAAACCCCGATGAATATAGGACTCTCCTCATTGATGTTAGCCATTTCTTTGGCTAATTTGGCCAGACAATCTGCTTTTGCATTCTGTCCTCAAGGAACTCGAGCTATTTTGACATTTGGTACTTGCTTCAGAAGCTCGAAGGCTCGCCGATGATAGTGGGCCAATTCGACTTTGCCAATCTTATAAATGCCGAGGAACTGATTTATTATAAGCTGAGAATCACCAAAGATTTGGAGATGTTGGATTCTGACATCGATCGCAATCTCCAACCCTGCTAATAGAGCTTCGTATTCGGCTTCGTTATTGGTCCGAGGTTCAGTCAAACTGAATGAAAATCTCATTATGCCTCCCTCGGGTGCTACGAAAATGAGACCGATGCCAGCTCGGGCTCTTGCAATATTCGGAGGTCGGACAGGTCTAATCGACGATGCCCCATCAAAGTACATTTCCCAGAATGGTAGCCTTTCATTCTCTTCAACTTGCATGATTTGTTCGTCAGGCAAATCGTCGTTTAGTGGAGAATCTGCCGGGATTGGATGTGCGGCGAGAAAGTCTGTCAATTCTTGACCTTTCACCGCCTTTTGTGGCATGTATATGATATCAAACTGTAATAACAATACTGCCCACCTAGCTAGACGACCTGTCAACGCTGGTCTTGTTATCAAGAACTTCAACGGATCGATCTTTGATATCAGGGTAATTTTGTGGGATAACATGTAGTGGCGGAGTTTCTGAACTGCAAAGATCAGCGCCAAACAATGCTTTTTAATAGGAGAATAACAGCTTTCTGCTCCAATCATCCTTCGACTGATGTAGTAAAGTGCGTTTTCTTTTCCTTCTTCATTGTGCTGGGCCAATAATGCTCCGAGGGACTCTTCTAGTGCTGCCGTATACAGTATAAGAGGCTTCCCCAGAATTGGAGCTGTTAGAATGGGAGGATTTAACAAGTATTTATTGATACTATTAAATGCTTCCTGACATTCTGCATCCCATTTGAAACGGACATCTTTCTTCATTAGTTTTGAAAACGGCTGGCACCTATCCGATAGATTTGATATGAATCTCCAAATGAAAGACAGTTGTCCTTGCAGCGAGCGAAGCTGTCGAAGGTTCTTTGGAGGTGGCATCTCCATGATTGCCTTGATCTTATTGGGGTCAACTTCGATACCTCGATGACGGACAACGTACCCCAAAAATTTGCCGGAAGAGACTCCAAAGGCACATTTGAGTGGATTCATCTTCAGATCATATTTTCTGATTCTTTCAAACACAATCCTCAAGTCATCTAGGTGATTTCTTCGATCCATGCTCTTGACAACAAGGTCGTCCACATAGCACTCATCCTTTTGATGTATCAAATCATCAAATATATGAGTCATCGCCCGCTGGTAGGTGGCACCAGCATTCTTTAGGCCAAAGGGCATGACTGTGTAGCAGAAAATCCCGATGGACGTCCTAAACGATGTATGCTTTTCATCTTCGGGCGCCATCTTGATTTGATTGTATCCTGACGATCCATCCATGAAGAAGAACATATCGTAGTTGGACGTATTGTCCACCAGGAGTTCGGATACAGGGAGTGAAAAATCATCTTTTGGGCATGCCTTGTTGAGATCCCTGAAGTCAATACAGATACGAATCTGCCCATTCTTCTTCTTCACTGGGACGATATTTGAGATCCAATCGGCATAGTTTTCTTCTCGGATGAAACCTGCCTCTATGAGTTTCTTCGTTTCTGCGATCACCTGTTCTTCAATCTCCAATCTCATTCTTCTAGGAGCTTGTTTGACAGGTGATACATCCGATTTGATTGCTAATCTGTGAACTGCTACGTCAGGGGATAAGCCAGGCATCTCAGCATATGTCCAGGCAAAGCAGTCCCTGAATTCACAGAGAAGTTCTTTTATTTCTTCTATTTGTTCTTCGGGTAGGAGAGAAGTAATGAAGGTTGGGCGAGGATCTTCCTAAGTCCCCAAGTTGACTTCTTTTAGTTCATCCATAGTGGCTGCCTGCCCACCATCTTCAAGCTCTTCTGATGCAGGTTCGACTTCTACGGGCTGTTCATTATAATAACCAGCTTCGTATGTCTCTTCAGTATTACCATCTTCGGATTCAATTTCCATGCATGTGATTGCCTGACAAGTCTCTTTTCGGAGGAATTTTCTTTTGATGAATCCAATACCTTTATATGTGTCTGTATCCTTCTGCCGTAACGGACGCGGACTCCTTCCATACCAGAGGCCCAAGCTTGTACGAAGTTGTCGTTTGGTGGTAGGAATATTGACTTGTTTTCGTAGCATTCTTTGAATATTTTTGATATTGAATCTAGGTAGCCTCGTAGGAAATAATTCCTCAGAGTCGAGGAGCATGCAATCCCAGTCATAATTCTCCTCTTCGTGAACTCGCGTGGAATATAACACATTCTTTGGCACAGTCCCATTTTTACGGGGAGGCAGATAGAGAATGGCGAGTTCTTCAACTTTATGCATCTCGCGTGGAATAATTTCCTTGAAATGTTGTAAAGGAACACGCGTGACTACGAGTACACTATCTGAAATTGATAGACTGTCAATTCTTCTAGAGAACTTCATAAACTGTTGCTTCATGAACTGTGAAAGGCTGAATGTCACCAGAGATCCTGAATTCTTCTCCATCTTTGAGATACTTCATACACTGGTGTAGTGTTGACGGGACAATACCATATTCATGTAACCAGGGACGGCCTAGTAGCGCCTTGAATGAAGTATCCGCGTCGATCACATGGAATTTAGCTTCTGTATGGAGCTCTCCAAATACAAGAGGGAGCATGAATGATCCAAGGGTTTTCTGTCCTTTTTCATTGAAACCATGCACCATCAGCTTATCTGGCCCGAGGTGTTCCACATCAAGGCAGAGGGATCTCAGTGCTTTCAAGCTTATCAGATTTATGGAGGATCCAGGATCGATCAGAATTCGACTGATGATCAGCTTATCGCTCTCTGCAGTAATGTACAGAGGACGGTTATGGTCTGCAGTTCCGAGCATCATATCCTCTTCGGAGAAAGTAATGAATGGCTCATTACGAGCTTGCAGAACTTCAGTCAAACTTCGTTCAGCAAAATACGCCTCGTATCTTTCGGGATCTTTGAGAGCCTGAATCAGAGTCTCCCGAAGGTCTTTAGACATTATCAACGCGTCGTATATACTGAGTTGTGCTGGGATTTTTCTCAAATGGGATAAGATATTGTAATCTATCCCCTTGGATGAAGTGTTCTTTTTCTTAAGATCTTCAGAGATAATATCATCGTTGATAATTATTTCTTTTTCCTTATCTTTATTGGAGACCCCTTTCTTCGGTGGAGGCGGTAGTATTTTTCCGCTTCTTAACTGCACTTGAGCAATCTCCTCCGGTTCAGAGTCATTTAACTGTACATTTTCTTCAGAGTCAGCCATCGTTGCGTCTAGGGACTCATCCGTTGATTCAGAATCACCACCTAGGTTTACATGTCCCATCCGAGACGCTATGCTAGGGTCTGATTCGTCTCCCTCTGGAAAATATAAATCCTCCTCCGAGCTGTAATCCATTGGCAAAACCATCATACAGGATTCAGAGGGTACTTCTTCTGTGTATTCTTCTTTCATTGAGGTACTCGGCGCCACTGAGATGACCCGACATACTTCTTTGGGAAGAGAATTCTCATCATTTTCTTCGGCTTCATCTATCTTAAGCTCCGACATGAAGTCAGCGAGCTTGACAGGTCGCCTCACAGTCTGGTAATATTCATCCAAACTGTTGATAACTCTCTGAGTTTCAGTCATTTTCTCCTTAGGCTTTTTCAGCTTGGTTTTCTTCTTGGATGATTTCTTCTTTTCAGTCTTTGAAGAACTAACTTGGTTGGAAAACTGTTTTGAAGTAGAAGGTCGTACCACTGGCAGTGCCTTCAAATCTATCATTGGCTCAATAGGAGATTTCCACTTTACACCTGAAACTCCTTCGAGTTGCTTTAACATTTTTACAGTTTTCTTGGAGACCGCAGTCTCCCACTTTTCTTCTTGAATTGGCTTCTTTTCATTTCTTCTTTCTTCAACCAGAGGTACGGAAGAGGACGTGACCACCCGAGTTGATTATTTTTTAGGATGAGACAGCACATTGTTGGATAATGTTAGTTTCCCCTTTTGATATTTTCTTTCAAGCCAATCCTTGAAGATATAACAATCTTCAATAGGATGGCTGAGTACTCGATGGTATGGGCAATAATTTGGGTCACCAGTGTGCTTCGACTCTTCGGGTCTCTTGCATTCAGGCAGTTCTAAACCCGATTTCAATACTTGTCGAAATAATTTGGCGACACTTTCCCTTTTGAATGAATACTCTTTATTCATTTTATCTTTAAGGGATTGGAACGTTCTATCACCAGTTCCTATTATCTGTCTCTGGCGTTCTCCTCCACCTTGATAAGTTCGTGGCTTATCATTGCCCCCGAGTATCAACTTCGGCTGGGGGTTGGGGTTGTAGGTCTGTTTAGGCTTTTCTTGATATTGCATCGACTGTTTGCCTTTGTCAACGTTGTAAATCACTTGCTTTTCTCTATCAGCTATGGAGAAGAACATAGAGTCGGCATCACCCCTTCTAGCACCCGGGGCCTTAGCCTTCTTGAACTTATCAGAGTGATTTTCTGATCTGGACAAATTCAGTTTTTCAAACTTGGCCACTCTGTCGAGCATGTCTTGAAATGTGTTTATCGTAGCCATGCACAGGAAGGGTTGCATCTTGTCATCAATGTTGCCCATTAACAACTGTACGGCATGCTCTTCTTCTAACTGCTGCTCACATTTCATGCTCAAATTTCGCCAACGAGTGATGTATTTAGTCACTGATTCTTCTCTTTTTCTCTTATCCAGAGCGAGGTCAGCGATCGTGATCTTCTCAGTTGCACTAGCGAATATCTTCACGAACATAGATTCTAACTCTGCAAAGGTCTTCACAGAGTCGTTTGGCAGTTCAGCGTACCATTCGAAAGTAGTTGCTGTCAAACTGCTGACGAATTGTTGGAAGAGTAGGGCGTCATTTCCTCCTGTGTTCCCGCAGGTGGCTTTAAACTGTGCCAGGTACTGGCGGGGATTGTTAGTACCATTGAAAGTATTGAACTTTGGTATAGAATACCCTTTCGAGTATGGTACGTGGTCATATTCAGCAGGATACGGACGACCCTTGCCCACTAATTTTTCTGCTTGATCAACAGCTATAATAGCCCTGATCCTTTCTGTGATGATTCCTTCCAACTGTGCAGTGGTCACAGGCTCGGAAGCACTTGCAATATTCTGCGGAGTGGGCTGGCGGATGACATTATGAACTTCGTTGCCACCTTCAAGAGTGCCCCGTGCTCCTGAGACTTGAGGCATTTGAAAGTTTGGAGGATCTGGAGGAGGATTGGGCATGGCACCAACAACAACAGTTTTCTGCATCATCTGCATCATTGCCCCTATCTGAGCCATCATCTCAGTCATCTTCTTATTCAACT